ATATATATATACCCGCTAAAGTAGTAGTTGTTACTTTTTTTTTTAGTTCTTCTTCATCTTTCACTGCATTCCCAATGCCCGTCGCTTCCGCTCTGAGAGTTCCTCCAGCACGTGGACTGTGGCTGTGAGATCCTCCTCTGTACGTCTCGCCCAGTTGGCCACATCGCCCATCTCTTTCAGTTCCACGTTGAGTTTTGCAAACAACGCGGCCCATGCCGTCATTCGCCGCTGCAACTGCGCAGATCGTGCGGCGATTTCTTTTAATTCCGCCTCAATTTGTTTTTCCCGCCGAAACGCTGCGGACACTTCGGCGTTGGCACTCGCGGCGATGGCGTCGCAGGCGGTGTGTGAGTAGTGCCGCACATCTTCCCACGCCTGTTGGCCGGCGGCGTGCAGCTCCGACTGGCGCTCTTTATGTGCCCGCAGGAGATCTGCCAATTGCGAAGATAGTGTTAATGATGATGATTGCGTTAATGATGATTGTGTTGTTGTTGCTGTTGCTGGAGGTGAAGAGAAGAAGGGAAGGGATGAAAGTAATTTCTGGGGTAAGAAGTTACTACGCTCTTCACTCTTATTATTGTTGTTGTTGTTGTTGTTGTTGTTATTTATGGACGGTGGGGTGTCAGGCGTTTTTTCCGCTGTGGTAGAGAACTGCGATGGATGTTCAGATTGTGGAATGGGGAGTCCCTCATCTCTTATTGTTGTTGTTGTTGTTGTTGAGATTAATATTAATGGCTTTGCCTTTTCAGATTCGTTATCGGCGGACATTCTATCTATACACACAGTTCTTTACCGTACTGCTGTACATCCTTTGAATAATAATAATAAAGAATAATAAGAAGAAAAAAAAAGGGAAAAGGGGTTACAGTCTTATGAACACGACATCATTTGCAAGTACTCTAAATTGTTAGAATCTACAAAAAGAGAAAAAAAAAAAGGATCAGAAGACATGGTGCTCCTTTTTTTTGTTTTGTTGTTGTTCTGTTTGTGAAAATTCTTCTGAGAGTATATTTTTTCTTTTTTTTTCGCCTTTTGCTTTCAAGGCTTTCGGTCTCTTAAACTTCACTGTTCATAATTAACACTGTACGTTGCGCATAGCACTCTTCCTCTCTTTTTATTCTTCTTCCTCTGCAATATCTCTCATCTCCTCTCCTCTCCTCCCATCTCATCTCAATGTATTATTATTATTATTATTATTATTATTATTATTATTATTATTATTATTATTATTATTATTATTATTATCTGCGGTAGGGAGCGGGTGTTTGCATGGGATTCGCTAATGGCATAGTTCCCACCACCGGCACACTGTACGGCAGGAGATCATCGACGAGATCAATGTGTGCGAGAATCATCCGGCGACAACACATGCGGTCGAGATGAAGGGCGTTGAGGGCCTCCGCCTCTGTGTAGTCCTCACTGAGGAGCTGCTGGTACGTCTCGTAGAGATGGCCAATGACTTTCCCGCAGGAGTAGCAGCGAACAGGAATCAGCATGGGGGCGTACACACACCTGCAGCAGCAGAAAGGATCCTAAAGAATAATAAGAATAAGAGGGAAAAAAGAAAGAGAGAAGTAAGCTAGGAAATAAGAAGAAATAGAAGAAAAGGAAAAAAAAAAGTAAATCGTGAAAGATATATCATTGAGATTGCACAGAAAGAAAATAATAATAAGAATAATAATAACAATAATAGTAATAATAAAACTATATGTGATTTTACACAAGAGTAGATACACAGTCAGATAAACTGAGTATGGGCATAGAGAGGGGAAGTGAATCACAGTCGATCGACATAAGCAGAGCTGTCCAAACAATATATATATATATATTGGCGCTATGAAGGATGAAAAAAGAGAAACAATATCAAAAAAAAAAAAAAAAATGCAAGGGAGAGTCACCCCTAAACACCAACCCTCACCAACACAACAAACAAATAAAAAAGAAGTATGAGAATTGTTCCAAGGAAAAGTAAAAAAAAAAAACAACAACAACAACAACTCATCAATACCAAAAACACCTAAAATCGATGTCATCATCACCTCTACAGAAGCAAGAGTGTACAGTTTCTCTCATTTATTTTCTCTTTTTTCCCATAAGTTTCTTACGTTCCCCTCTATAATCTTCTCTTTCTCTCCTTATCACTTTGTTTTGGGACGGCTTCAGCGCAAGTAATAATAATAATTTTTTAAAAAAATGACAACGAAGCACGTACCCACTCACTTACTTACTTAGAACACACATGACTCTTTTTTTTTTTTGGTTTCTTTTGTTGTGTTTTCCTCTTCTTATGGTCAGAACAATTCTACAGCATATCTTCTTCCTCATTTCTTTCTTTTTTTACTTCCTCAACCGTTTCTTTCTTTTTTTTTTTCTTCTCTTCTCTTCTCATCCTCTTCTTTTAGTTGTTCTTTTTTTTTTTCTTTGTCTTTGTAGTGTAACTTCCTCCGCTCTCTTTCCTCTATCACTTTCTCACGCCGTCCATGGCAGTGAATATATACGTGTATATTTATATATATGTATACATGCGTGTATATCTCTGACATCATTGCCGCCTTCCCACTTCACACCACACCACACCACACCACCTCTGCCTGTTGTAATTGTGGTGGTTTCTCTTATAGAAAGTAATCTGGTGTCTTTCTAGAAACCTGCGCCTCCCCACGCCTTGGGGCTGGATCAAACTGAAAGAAGCACTTATTCATGTGCTCATCTAACTCAAGTAGACCTGCGAGGTTTCCACAGCGGTAGCAGTAGTTGGGGGCGCTAAATATCGTCACCAGTTTATCATTATGTGTCCAGCTGTATCCTTCCGTCACGAGTTGATGGGCTCGTGCAATGGTGGCGAGACCGTTATTATGACAAAACTGTTCCGTGATATCTGCGCCGAATGTAAATCCCGCGCCTCTTGGTGAAATCCCCCATCCGTCCCTGTCCTCCGGGTCGGACCAGAGGAGATCACACATGGGGCCCTCGTGCGGGACCTCCTGCGCCCGCTCGAGGCTGCGGATGTGGGCGAGACTGTCGAGGGTCGGCGAGAGGCCGCCGTGCAGGCAAAACACCGCCCCCTCCACCACCGCCGCGAGGGGAAGATAGTCAAAGAGATCCGTCAGCAACTTCCACACATGCGCTCCGCCGTACTTGCGAACACACTCGTCGTAAAAGCCGTAGACTTGTGTGATTTGACGGGACTCATGATTGCCGCGGAGGATCTGCACACGTTCGGGATAACGGATTTTGAAAAGGAGCAGCAGTGTTACGGTCTCCACACTGTAGTAACCACGATCCACGTAATCACCCATGAAGAGATAATTGGTATCCGGTGGTAGACCGCCGATCTTCAGCAATTCTAACAAATCATGGAACTGACCGTGGATATCCCCACAGACCGTCACCGGGGCCCGCACGGTGTGTACATTTCCCTCCTTTTCCAACACCTCCTTGGCCTTCTGGCAGAGTTGGGCCACCTGCGGCTCACTCAGTGGCTTTCCCTGCAGAACATACTGGATCATCTCATCCACGTTAAAGCTACCAGGCTCTGCGGTTGAGGCGGCAGAAGCAGCCGTGATGGTGGCAGCAGAAGCCGCAGACGCAGCTGATGTACCACCAAGGGAAGGCATTTGTTAATGATATTTGCTCACGGACTCTCCTCTCCCTATGGGGTCTCTGTTCTTTTTTTCTTTTTTCTTCTTTACCCGTATATGGTGTGTATCTGTATCGGTATATATATATATATATATATATATATATATATATATATATATATATTCCTTTTGTTTGTTTGTTTGTTTTTGTGTGCTTACTCGCAAATCTCTTCTCTATCTAATTCTTACTCTTTCTTCCTTTTTTTTCTTTGGCTGTTTGTGGGTTTCTCTTCTTCTTTTCTTTGTTCTCCTTTTTTTTTCTGTTCTCTATCTTAAACTTGTTCAATGGAGTTGTGCTATGGCAACTTAGCCTCGTGAATGAAGAATGTATTAGGAAGAAAGAGAATTATTAATAAATACGATCTTGCAAAGTCAACTCAAACTTGGTATGAGGTAAAAAAACAGTTATAGATAGAACCACAAGGTTTAACTTCATGTTCTACCCAAATGAAAAAAAAAGAATTTCCCCCAGAGATTCAGCAGGAACGAAGAAATGAAAAAAGAGCAAAGATAATATGTTCATCAACGGAAAAAAAAAAAGAAAGAAAGAGCCCTCATTACAGAATCAAGGTCTAATTCCTACTTAAGATAATAAAAATCAATTAATTAATTAATTAATTAATCAATTAATTAATAACCCAAGTTGCACACCTTTTTTTTTTCTCTCTTTTCCTTTTTTTTTTTTTTTTACACTTTCTTCTCATACCGTTTGTCCTTTAAACTCAGAGAGAGAGGGAGAAATGTATAGCCTCTAAAAAACAAATCCACACATGTAGCAAAAATAATAATTATAAAAAAAGAAAAAAAAAAAGAAGGTGTTAACAACCACGGATTAATCAATCTTCATTACTGCCATCATGACCTGCACAGCCTGGATAACACAACTAAATGGAAGAAGTTCAGAATGTAACTCCAATGTATTCCTCTTATTATTATCAGTAGTAGTAGTATCAATAGTAATAAGATTATCAACATTACCATCACCCATCATCATCATCATCTCAGCTTGACGAGGTATTATCCAAAGTGCCTGCACAACGGCCCCAATAAGGGCTTCCACTACATCTGCCCTGCGTTTCTTATTACTGATACCATAGAGAAGCAATAAATGTTGAGATACCGTATCTGGTAAACAAGTGGCAAGATTTCTGTTTGCAGCACCACCAGCGAGCGACCCACCTTTCCATGTATTTAACTCTTTCTGCACGACGAGAAAATCCAGCATCGCATCACCAAGATACTCTAATGCTTCATTCTTTCCAGGTGTAACAGCTATGAGTAGTTGTTCTCGGAGACTCTGGAGTAATGCCGTTTGTGTTTCTTCCGAGAGCTGCGTAAATGGAGTTTTACACGTGTGTTGGCTGCGAAGCTGTTGTTCCATTGGTATAATGAATTGACTTTCAATGAATTTATTAATGGGTGGGGCGGCAACAAGTACCCATTCATCCACGAGTACCTTCACTGAAGACAGTGCCCCATTAACATTATCATTATTATCATCCTTATCAGCATCATTATCAACATTAGTATCAGTATCATTGTTATTGCAATCATTATTATTATCACTATTATCAACATTACTAGAATCAAACAACCACTGTTGGGTCTCTTTCTTATCCATTTCAATAGCAATATAGTTTATCATTCTCTTAGTATTGTCTATTTTCCCAGTTTGATCTGATTCATTCATCTCTTTCCCATCATGTTCATAATTCCTGTTACTTGCAGTTAAAGGAAGTACCAACACTGAATGAGAACATTCTTCTTCCGTGGTCTCTCTCTCTTTCATTGCCCCCTGCAAATGATCCTTTCGCTGCTGTGGACGGCCAATAAACAGTAATGGTGTTGTGGTAATATAATCACGATCTACACCTTTCGCACAGTAGATCCTTATTGCACGCTTATTGTACCTGGATAACACACACAGTGGAGCATAGACAGCTTCCTCCAACTCCTTGTTGAGATGCTGTATCCCCTCATGGCGACCACAGACCCCTTTATCATTTCCCGGTTCATTTCTAGGCAAAATAAGAGAGAGTGTGGTAGACTCCGTATTATTAATAGAAGATGTAATAGAAGAATGATCATTATCATGTAAAAGATTGGTATTTGTTAATAACCACCTGATGCAGATATCACCAAGGGTAACAATACCTGCAATATCATGTGCAAGCTTACTCTCATGTGCAATGAGACGCAAACAATTTCGTGCTGCCTCAGTATTAAACATTAAATTGTTTTTTAAAGCCATTAACTGTTTGGTTTCCTGTACAAGAGGTAATGGCAATTCGTTTAGGTAAAGTTTATTTTGCGTGAGATGATTCTGGCATCTATCAATGATGATATTCTCTGTATTACACGTATGATCATGATTATCATCATTATCCCATGTAGGGCATAGGGCATCCACGGCGATATTGGCATTATCATCATTATTATTATCATCATTATCATTATTATTATCACTACCGTATAGTAGAGTAGCTTTAATAATATGAACATCAGACGTTTTATGTAAAGCCATAGCTGCAGCATCTACTTCATTTACTGACAACAAGAACAACACCATTGCCTCGGATGTGGATAATGGCTGTGTTGCCGTTGAAGTAAAAGAGGAATGAATCACATGAACACAGTGACTATTGTGAAGTTGTAAAAATTTCTCTGAAATACGAATAAAAGCAGATTTGTGTGTTATTTTACTAGCCACAAGAGCAGAGACTCCGATAATATTATTATTATCATTATTACCATTATTATTATTCCCTTCACTGATGATAGTGGTAAGCTCCTGTAAGGAGTCACCAGGAATAAGAAGTAAAAAGGGTCTAAAGAGTGGAATTGCACGTCCACCGTATTTTTTCATCTCTCTTCTCCACACATTCACATCCTCTACAAAGTCGTAGAGGGCGACAGAAGGAGAAAACTTCTTTAATGCCTCATGTAAAGAGCATTGGGGTTGACTGGCCATCACCGCTGCCCCGATCGCCTCGTTATTATATGCCCACGTGGCACGTATACAGTCCTCTCGTGTTGTACTTGACGTTATTTTTTCTTTTGTTATTCCCCCGCTGTTGTTTTCATTGTTGTTGTTTTCATTATTGTTGTTTAGACGAAACTGCAAGCGTCCCAAGAGATCCAGACGTTGGAGTAATGACAGTAACTCTGCGGTTGTTGTTGGCAATCGTACCCGGCATTTATCCCTATTCATATCATCATAATCACTGTTACTATTATTATTAGTATTATTATTAGTATTATCAGTATTCTCCTTTATGGGGAGACCATAAATCTTCTGCAAATGATGAAAGAGTTCTGTCGCGGTAATCCAACCCTGTTCCTCTTCTCTCTCTGCAAATCCAACAGAACGTGCATACCGCAGTGCATCTTGGTAGAGTTTCACATATTCCCGTACATCTTCCATCTTCACAACAGTTGATTGTTCCTTCTTCTCTTCCTCATCTTTTTTCTCGTTATTATTCTCTGTTTTCGTACATGGACGATGTTTTGCAAACTCTTTAATGAGGTATGGTTCCAATTCCTTTTCACACGCCTCAAACCCCTTTTCCATCCACATACGCCCGAGTTTTCGCTTCCAGACACTCTCTGCAGTGAATAGATTGGTGTCTTCCTCAACATAACCGCGTGCGCAGGACTCTCTGCCGAGAGACTCATGCCGCCACAACTCACTGTGGAGAAGTCCCAACTCCGACACATTTGTAATTCCCCGCCGCATGAGAAAAAGTGCCACTGCGAGTTTAATCACCCACCGACCACGTCGACTTTGAACAGTATTGATCAACTTCTCTTGATGGACTTCCTCATTCGTGCCATCATTGCAGTTGGGATTACTGTAGAGATTGGCTTGGATGTGTGGATGATCTCCATCGGCGTTCTCTGTGGAAGACATATTGCCACGCTGAATGTCAGTTGTCTAATAATAAAAAAAGGGTCAGAACAACAACAATAAGGCAGAAAAGGAAATAGTAATAAATAATAATAATGCAAATAGTTACATGATATACAGAGAAACCCCACAGAATATATATATAAGGATATTAATGACCCTGTATCTCTTTAACTCTTCTTTTCAACTTTACTTTAAATATTCAACCATTCATCTGCATCAAACTCTGTCAGCTGAAGTACACTCTCACAAATATCAGAAATGCTGTTGCCAATGTTTATTCCACTCACTTTTACATTTCTCTCGCCTCCGAGTAGTGCAGAACTTGCAAGAGACGTCCCTCCCACATCCCCGTATGAAACGTCATTATTATTATTATTAGTGTATGCGTTGTTGTCTTCCCGTTGTCGCTTTTGACCTCGTTGACTCTCCGTCATTCCCAACTCTGGTTGTCCCCTCATTACACTACTATTCATATTACTGTTGTTATTATTGTTGTTGTTATTCCTGCCTCTGTTCCTCTTCTTATTCTGAATGTTGTTATTCTGAATACGTTGTAGTCGTTCAGTCAATGCGGCTTCCATCTTCTCCCGTCGTTGGCGATCTGCACATCTCTTCTCTAATACAACTCTTCGCTTTAAGTCATGCACTAATGCTCCCCACTGCAGGGGTTCATCACACAATGGACATGCACACGGTTGGCGTGGTAGTAATGTGAGTGTGGATGTAAGTGTGGATGGATCTTGTGAAGATGCGGGAGGAGGATTATTTAACGGACTCTCTGCACGTTCTAATGTTTGTGATAATGGCATTGCTGCCACTCTTCCTGTTCCTATTGGTCCACCAAATGATGATAAAGATCGTTGTTGTTGTTGTTGTTGTTGTTGTGATCCTGTGTGGTGTGTAAACCACATGGCTAGACATGTGAGATGTGTGCGTAATCCACAAAATGGGGTGCGGGCGCAGCGTAGAAAGTATGGGGCCCGCAGTGGTAATGTGCACAACGAACACGGATAGTGCCCGGCCTCTAATAACTCCTTTTCTCTGGCATGCTGTCGAAGAATATCCTCCTCGCATAAATACCGACAACTTCGTCTGGGCCCTCCAGAGATATTATTCCCATTATTATTATTACCATTATCATTATCACTATTAACATTATTATCACTATTAACATTATTATTATTATTATTATGGAGAGGGGCTGTCATAAAGTACGCGCAGCCTCCCATCGCGACTTCCCCCGTTTCGGTCTCATCCAAATATTTACTCTGAAATTGTTCCCGCGTGATCTCCTCCACATGCAGCAGTGGTGTATTCCCCAACGGCAACACCGCCGGCACCCGCTGCCGCAACTCCGCCGCGATCTCCGCAAACCGCGCCGGCTCAAACACATGCAAAGTGAGTTGCAGTCGGGCGAAGAGATCGGCCCGCAGGAGTAAATGCAACACCCCCACCGCATACACCAGCCGCTGCGGCTGGACGGCCCGCAGGGAGGGCATCTGCAGCCGCAGCCGCGCAGACTTGGTGGGGTGCTGCCAACACCACTCAAACTTCAACGCGACGCGGTCCTCGCCGAAGCCGGACACACAACACAACAGAAGCCACGGCCGTCCGCGGCGTTTTGTGCGCCAAGCGCCGTTGACGAGTTCGCCGTTGTGTTGCCGCAATCTTCTAATAGGATGGACGGTGTAGCCAACGTAGTACTCTCCCACACAGTGTGGGTCAAGACTGGTAAGAAGGTAGACACAGTGGAAACGGGTATCCATTGGGTTTCTATATATATAGAGATATACTGGGATAATAATAATAATAATAATAATAATAATAATAATAATAATAATAATAATAAGTGTTTGGGCAGTTAATCTAGTAGTAATAGTAATATATGTATGTATGTATGTATGTATGTAAGTATATATATAAATATGAATGTGTGCTTCTACTCTTCTTGTTTAGATGTGCCACGTGACGGTGTAACAGAACCACCCACAAAAATAATAAATAAATAAAAAGACTCTAACCTTGTCAATAAAAAACCAACAATATATTATGTAGATACGTAGACAGTTATTTATCTATATATATATATATATATATAGTGTGTTTGTGTGTGTGTGTGTGTGTGTGTGTGTGTAAACCTCACCACCAACAAGTTTCACTAACTGTGTGATGGTGGCATACAGATCATGCAAGAAGTCACCCCCACAAGAGAGAGGAGTTCTACACCTAATGAGTATAGAAATCAGAAAGTAAGGGGGAAAAAAAGAGAAAAAAAAAGAGAAAAGACATTCATTCCTTATACTATAAACAACTATAATAACAATCATATAGGAGTAATATTAGTAATAATAGTAATAATAGTATTATTTAATAGTAGTGATAACAGAGATACATGCACAGTGTATAGAAAAGAACAAACACAGATACAAAGCACACAATAATCCCTCTCTCTCTCTCACTCTCTCTCTCTCAACACGTCTCGTTGAATAAGAAATAAATAAATAAAATGAACAATAAGAAAAGAAGTATTTTGGTGAAATGAGAACAAACACACATCTCCCCCTCTCTCCTCTTATCTTCTTTGTAATGTTTGCAAATTTCCTCTTTTTTTTCTTTTCTTTTCTTTTTCTTTGTTTATTATTATTTCTCAAGGTATTCCCTCCAACGTGAGATTTAGGGATATTCCGTGTTCTCTCTAAGAAGACAACATTCTTTCTTTCTTTCTTTCTTGTTGTTATTCTTTTTATTTCTTCTCAACACCTTGCCGATCATTCAAATCCATTTTCCTTCTTTTCTTTTTTCTTCTTGTTTCTTTTTTTTGAAATGAAAAAGAACAGAGAGAGGGAGAGTCTCTGCTCAGACCATTCAAAGACACAACACCTACAACAACAGCAATAATAATAATAATAGTAATAATAATAGCAACCACAACACTAACCACAACACTAACAATAATAATAATAATAATAATAATAATAATAATAACAATAATGATAATAGTTATAATGGAAAGACTGACAGACACAGATATACACTATCTATCTATCTATCTATCTCTCTGACACAAATGTATAGTGATAAGCAGAGAGAGAAACTACAATTAATAAGAGTAATTCGCACCTTTCACTCTTACACACCTATCTCTCTCTATCTATCCTCTTGCTGTTGTTGTTCCTGTTGTTGTTCTTATGATTGCGGGGCGCACACACAGACAATTGTTTCTATCAATTGAATTTACCACAGAGGCATACACTCCATACAACGCAAAATAATTTCTCTTTAAAAATAAAAAGAGGGAATGAAGTGTATTCTCCGTTTATTCCCTCCCACGCAAACAAATGAAGAAAAGTTTGATATTAAACTCCCCTACAACCAACAGACAGCATTCACACGCCACGCAAATAAAACAACTCACACGATAACACAGTAAATAATAAATAATAATAAATAAATAAATAACACCTACCTACAGAGAGAGAGATAAATAGATAGATAGAAACACACACTTTCTTTCTCCTTCTTTCTCTCTCATTTTTATCTATGCGAGTGCCTTATTCACATCCTTGTGTAGACGCACAAGGAATTGATCATATCCCATCACTCCTCCCTCATTCTCTTCCTTCAATTGTCTAAAGAAGGCATCTTCCGCACGGTCCTTCTCGTGTAGAATGATAAGCCGCCGCATCCCATCATCTCGTAAAAGACAGGCCCACAAGACATTACGGAGTTTCTCTCCAAAGCCGTCAAAGAATACCGTACGGCCCACTTCCGCGGCAATCTCTGTTCCAAATAATTCTTTAGATATTTGTGGAGAGACTTGAGATCCAACCCAGAGATACACCAATCGTGCCTGTTCATCACACAACACATAAACTCCATCACTGGTAATACTTTCATAAAATAATTGACGCCATCCTGGCATAATACAACGTCCAGTAGTTGGATCTAATGTACCACTATTAGCATCCGATGGTAATAAATGAACTGCATAAAGAGTGGGATATAAATACATTAAACATTGATGCATAGGAATAGTCATGAGATGAAATAACTTTTGTACTCGATCATCAATACGAACTGTTGTTCCTTCTACTAAGGCATCTGCTTTTAATAATGAAAGTACATAAAGTGGAAGAAGTCGTAAACGAGATGGCATTAATAATGAAGTACTACTATTAGATGTACAAACACGACGATAGGCAATAAGCATTTTCAATACACGTTCCTGTGCTGCATTTCGTGCATATTGTAATCCTTTATTCACTGCATTCCCTACGGCTTCGTGAATATATCCTACAAGTGTGGCTTCCAGATCCGCATCAAATACCGCTAATAGAGTTGTCACTACAGGCATTCGAACTGAATGCACACGAACACGTCTTTGACCTCCACGTGTGGTGTAAAGAAGTGCTGTTTGAAAAAATGCATGTGAATTTTTTTCCAATTTTCCTTCATGTGCAAACTCTACAAAAAAAGTAGAAGAACCTTGTACATGAGCAAGATCCATATCATGTGAATCTTGTGAAAGAAAATGACCATGATAACCTTGTACACGTAATCCCGTACTACATCGAACCCGTAATATACCAGCATAACCCGCTTCTTCTAATAAGACTTGATCCAATACAGCTTGAACTTTAGTAGCATCCGTTTCCCGATCATAGTTTGGAAATAAATGTACCCGACCATTAGAGAGATGACAAGGTTGTGAAAGGGTTACTAATTCACAATATTGATCTGCAAACATGTGAAGATCAAAAGAAATTTGTTGTTTTGCACATGTAGTAGCCGTAGTTTTCCAAAATCCTTCAATCGGACGAAGGAGTTCCTTTTCTTTATCTGTTCCATATAAAGTGTGTTGTTCTCTTAACTTAATGGCTCCAATTCCACACTGTGGAGCTTTATGTGCACTCACCACCACATGACCACCGTGTTGTCCGGCTAATACTAACATGGCCACTTGTACAGCCGCCCCTAACGCACTATCGGTTTCTCGTAAATCATCTGCATACTCCGGTACTCGCATGAGAAAGGCATCCACAAGATCTAAATCGGTCCCAAGCGTTAACCAACAAAGACTTGTAAAGGGTAAAGGTACAAATGGATTATCCACATCGGCAACAATTAATTGTGGAATACGAGGATGACGTACATTATAGAAATGTAAAGTAGAGGCATAAGTAATAAAAGCCACACGACATTGTGGATATTGTTGTGCCATTTCATGTAAAGATTTTAATAAGGCATCCACATAATCAGATAAGAAAGTTGTTGCTGCCTTTTGAGAGACATCTATTAAAAATAAATAATGTAATGGTCTCATAGGAATAGGATTTTCCTTTTCATCTCGAAGTGAATATTCATCATATGGACCAACATCATATTCTACACTTCCACGAGCCAATTCTGGTTTTTCTGCACGATCCAAACGATTATTACGAGCATCCAAATTACAAAAATAGGCCTCTTCCACTTCATTAGACATGGAACAGAGTGGACACACCCAATAACGACCCATATCTGTAAACCGTGCATGGCAAGAAATATACCCACGACAACGATGACACCGCGCAGGTGGACGGCCTTCCACAATAGGAACTTCTTCACTTGGATGTAATGGACGACAGAGAGGGGCGAGTACAGCCCCAAAGGAGACTTTACTGTCTTTTACAAGTCGTTCCTCTGATGGGATGGAACAGGTTGTTGGACGGAAGAATTTGGCACTCGCATTACCATCATCAATGGCAACAAAATCAAAAACACTCATTGGCATTTGTCCAGAGGATGTACGATATTCATGTTCTTCTGGTTTCTGCGAAATATCCCGACGGGGATTTGGTGCACTTTTAAGATCAACTTGACGTTTAGGTGGTATTCGTGCATACTTTCCAATAGGTGTCACACATCGATCACGTTGACTTGTTGAATTATTATTATTATTATTATTATAAGTATTGCTAAAAGCATCCGTGGTAGGTGTAAGGGGTTGACGGTTCTGCTGAACCGGATCTGTGGAAGGAATAGGCGCCCCCCGTTGTGGTAAATTAGAAGCCATCAAAGGAGGTCCTCCTACATGTGGCATTGGGGAAGGAACCGCAGCTGACTGTGGTGATTGTGTTTGCATTCCTTGCATCTGTTGTTGTGGTGGTAGTGGTTGCTGCTGCTGCTGCTGCTGTTGTGGTGGTGGTTGTTGATAATTATGATAAGATTGCTGTTGTGGTTGGTTAGAAGTTTGGTAGTAAGTACTATTATAGTCATGTAATCCATTCACCCCAGCAGCAGAAGTATACGGATCTTGGTATACACCAGCTCCTGCCGTATTAGCATTAGTATTACTAGTAGTTGTAGTAGTTGTACTAAGAGGAATAGCAGGAGTATATTGTTGGTTTCCATACTCATTCCACGATGGGGAGGGCCCTGGCATTTGCCCAAACATCGTTGGTGGCGGTGACTGTTGCTGCTGTGGATGATATTGCGGTGTGGATTGCCCTGGCGGCTGCGGCTGTTGTGGCTGTTGGGCCCCACCGTATGGATAGTACATATTTCTCCCTCTCTGTTCTCTCTGGTGTGGAGGTGGTATTAGAAAGAGGGATTCCAGCAACGAAGAAAAGAGAAAGAAAAGAGAAAAAAGAGAATTAGAGTTACTACACGTGGTAAACTCTCTCTTACTGTTTTCTCGTCGTGGTCTCCTTTCCTTTTTTTCTTGTTTTTCTTTGTTTGTTTGTTGCTTTGATTTGCTTTCTTTCCTTTTTTTTTTGTTTCTCCTTTTTTCCTTTGAATGTCTGTATGAGAAGTACTAGTACAGAGACCCACACTAGCTCAATAGGCAAATACTACACAGATGAATAATAATAAGAAAAGAAAAGAGAAAGAAAAAGAAAAAAAAAAAAGAAAAAAAAAGAAAGAAATTAATAAGGATACACAATGACTAAAAGCCCCACACACACACACTATATATATATATGGTATTTAAACTAGATAACCCCATCCACCACAACAGGAAAGTAGTTTATATTTCCAATCCAAACCTTGTTCATTGAGGGAAACAGTATATTAACGAAAAGAGAAAGGAGAAGCTCATTGTTGTTGTTTTTTTCAGCAAAAAATTCGCCCTTTTGGCGTGCGCAAACATACACACATATACACACCCCACCTATTTTTCCCTTTCTTTTTTTTTCTGTCTTTCGTTCTTTTTATTGTTCCGACTTTCCTTTTCTTCTTCTCGTATTACCTCAAGTACATTGAGTTCAGTGCAAAAGCAGAAATAAGAAGCGTTGTTTGCTTAAAGCCCAATAATAGAAAAAAAACAAAACGCATGTGGGTTAAACTCTGCATAAGCCAAATTTCTGATATTACATTTACAAATATATATATATATATATATATATATTCTTTTCTAACCAGAGTGAGTCAAACCACTTACCTCTATGACAAATAAATCAATCGAAATATCCGTCTTTGTGAAGATATATAATGGATACATGGGAGCCACCAAGAAAAAAAAAAAAAACTAAATAAATAAATAATAATAATAATAATAATAATAATAATAATAATAATAATAATAAGGAAAAAAACAGCATCTGACATACGGATGGATAACAAGGTAAAAAAAAAAAAAAACATTAATGGGAAACACAATCACAGCTATAGCTGTTAAGGGTCCAGTATTCCAGGATAAACCTCTCCACGTTCAATCATTCATTACTAACAATACCAAACATCATCCACACAAACCAGGAAATCTACACAAAAAGAGAATCTATTTCTCACTTCCTGGCTTCACCTATACGACCCCCAATAAAAAAAAAAGGAAAAGTGTGATTTCTTTTTTGTTTTTTTTTTTTGCTTTTGTTTTTTTATTACTTTATTATTATTTTCACCTATCCACAGCATGGTGTCGAAATAAGAATGGAAAAGAGAGAAAAAAAAAGCAAAGGAAAGCAAAGGAAAGGAAACGGAGAAAAAAAAAAAAAACAAAAAAAAAAAAGAGGGAGAGGTAACAATCTTTGTTGACCTTGCCTCCATTGTGTTGTTGTTGTTGTTTATTCTTTTTTTTTTTTGTTTTGATACACAGATAAGTGTGTTTGTTTGTTTGTTTATTTATTTATCTACATGCAAAGGCAAACAAAGGAAACACACACAAAAAAAGAAAAAGAGAGAGAAATATATATATATATCAAGATTAACCCTCATAGTTTACATGCTGGCAAGACGGAGTGCGATAATCTCAAACACACCATATGGAATACCTTCCGAATCCGACTCTGGTAACTTTTTCACTATTTCTGTAGTTGCTGCAGTTGCCGTTGCTGCTGCTGCCATTGGTTCCTCTGCAGAGAGGCCAAAAGATGAGGATTTTCGTTTTGTTGTTTCTTTCGGTTGTGTGTTTCCCTCATCCATAGTGGTCTCTCCCTCCTTGAGACTATTCCGCTGAGTTTGTACGGCTGGAGAAGTAAAGAGGCCGGAAGAACGACGGGCCAAACCAGGCACATATGGATATACTCTACGAAGAATACTCAAATCACTTTGTTCGCTACTAAAGAGAGCAACATGGGCACGACAAAAGTGTAAGAGTTGTTCTCGTGTAATATATCCACGATGTGCCTTATCATATGCTTTAAAGACAGCGTGTCGTCGTTGTTCAGTATAACAGGGAACAAGATCTTGAATATTGGGAAAAAGACCTGTATCTTGTTGCCGTAAGAAAGGTGAGGGACTCCTATGCGTGTATTCTTGTTGTTTTCGTTGTAGTTCTTGTAGTTGTCGTTGTTGTTGTTTTAATAGTTCGGATAATTGTTTCTGTCGTTCTTGTTGTTGTTTTTGTAATAGTTCTGATAATTGTCTCTGTCGATGATATTGTTGTTGTTGTTGATCTAATAATTGTTGCTGTCGTAGTGGTGGTTGTTGTTGTTGTTCTTGTTGTTTCTGTTTTTGTTTTAACCCTGATTGGGGGTTTCGTGTGAGTGTCTCTGTTCGTACTGGAGTTTTAGTATCCCCACTATTACGTCTCCTGCTACTACTACTTCTGCTGCTGTTATTATTATTATTATTATTATTATTATTATTATTACTCTTACTGTTATTATTACTACTACTATTATGATTATTATTATTATTATTATTATTATTATTATTATGATATTCTTCTTCCGAGTCTGCGGAGGGTTTTGAGCGACGACGAGGGAAGGCACTTGTGGGCCGTCCATTCCGTCCATCCCGCTGGGGTTCATAAAACTGCAATTTCACCACCACTTGTATACTCAACTCCGGTATATGCATAGGCATACGATCTGCAAGGGCCAACTTGTGATGCCGTTCTTCTTTCCAACACCCTTCACTCTCCTGCACCAACACCACAAAGGGATCAAACTCCACTTGTACTTCCACGTGTGTTCGCATGCCTTCACCACTGTCGCCAGTCCACACCGCACACACACAGGTTTGCATCTCACCCCGCATAAAGAGCGGGAGATCAATGGAAATGGTATCCTCTAGCACAGCCGCCCCGGCCTCATCCACCTCTAATGGAATCCATAGGATTCGCTTTCTAAGAGATAGTTTGGGATGCGGCCAGGAGAAAACCAATCGCCAATTACCATGGGATGAGAGAGGTGTAAACCCTTTCACACGAATATCAGAAAAAACAAGACTGCGTGGTTGACACTCACGCATTCGTGCATGTTGAGGATTACATTTCTTCTCACTATAGAGAGCTGCATTATTGTAATCACCCGTAGATGGTCTTCCCGATTGTGGGGAGTGGGAATGCATTAAAGAGGCATCATTAGAACTCATGACGGAGAGATGCGGCAAATCATACGACGTATTGGAAAAACAACAACTAGGTCCATTGGGACAGTCATTACCAAAAAGAGAAGTTGATGATATTTTATTCTTACGAGTCTTTAAAGAACCTTTTGGAGTGACATTTGCAGAATGTGCCTGACGTGCTGCTCCAGAAAAACTGCAAGAGTGTTTATTACAATCTTCCATTTCTCCTGACAAAGAGTTTATACTTGAGTGTTTCGGTTGACTGAAAATCATTGGACCTTCCATTCCATTATGATAAGAATATTCTTGTCCAAATACCTCTCGTTGAACTTGAATTCTACTGCTCCTAATACTACTGTCATTTTGAAAGCAAACCTTAAACTGTACTTGCACTTCACCTCCACATGTACTTAATGGAAACCAATCACCAGGGTAATAACAGACTGCAGTCCCCAAAGGAGTTGAACTTCCCACAGTACGTAGGGCAACGTGAACACCTCCTTGTGAGAGAGATGCGGCCTCCCCACCATTTACAAAGTGAGGACCTGCAGCTGTTTGGCGTATAATACTTTTTCTCCTTGTAGCTTCGATAGGAAGAATAATACGAAGGGGTTCAAGTCCTAATATAGATCCCCCTTTAGTGTCTCTTCTACATGGTTCTTGTTCTTTTTTTTCTTGTGAATTCCCCTCCTGGTCTGTGTGTTTCTTCTCTGCTGAGGCGAGTGGCATAAGTGTGTTAGTTACATATGAACGTCCAGAAACGATGAGTTCCACCACCAACGGGAGTGTAGAGATAGACTCATCCAATCCACGTACTCCCACAGAGGAGACAACAACAAAGGATGAAACCTCCTGGGGATAATGTTGTGTACATATGATCTCCTCTGTTTCTGTGTATTGAGCCTTGGATGAAAGAGATCTTTGCTCCATATCTGTGTATGTGTATGTGTGTGTGTATAGTTCAGGGAAGAGGGGAATATGAGAATAGAAACAACGTTTTCTTTTTTTTTTTTTTTACCGCACTCTCTGGATGTTTGTGCGCTGATTCCTGTGATATCCCCCTTTGGCTAATGTAATGTATATAGTCAAAAAGAAAGAGAGAAACAGAAAGAAAACAAATAAATAAGCAAAGAAAGAAGAAAAAAAAAAAGTTTAGAAGAGCATTAACCAATTCCACAAAAAATTGGAGTTAGGAACAGAGGGTGGAGTTGACTACATTGAAAGCATTGGATTGAAAAAAAAAAAACGCCAAATAAAAAAAAAAACAAGAGAAGCATCTTGAACAGATAATAACACTGAGTAAAATTACATTGCATATATGAAAAGAGTCAAGAGTGTATTCTGGACAAGGAAAGAGAATACAATGGCAAACATTGTGTACATAAAGTGTGTCAAAAGATAGAAAAAGAAAAAAAAAGAAAAGAAAGAAAAAAAAGAGTGGGAATGAAGGAAAAATAAATAAAATCAAGAAAAAAAATAAGGAAAAAATTTTCTTAATATATTTTCTTCCTTTTTTTTCTTTTTTTTTATTCTTCACATCTCCATCTCATTTCTTTTCTTTTTTCTTTTCTCATTTATTTTCTTTTTTTTTTTTTATTAAATCTCAGTTTCACGACTGTCACCACGAAGAAGAAAGCTACAGGATTCCAAAAGACGATTATTAATCAAAACATCATAAATGGCCTCAAAGCGCACATTCGCGTATTCATTAAATTCCACAGATATCTCGTAAACACCAGGCTGACCACCTCGTGTGGCGGCTGGAATAATTCCTCTTAAAGGAGAAATAATAAAACGACTGGAACCTTCCATTAGAGGCGGCTCTCGTTTCTCTTCTTTTTGTTCCTGTTGGAGTGATTCCCCTTTTCCTTGTTGGGATTCTTGTTTAGATTCACTTACACGATGTCCATCACTTGTGGGAACATCCAGAGGAGCCGTATTATTATTATGATCATCACTATCCCAATAGTGAGTCATTTCCTTTAATTGACGTTCACGCGGGAGAATACGTGGAGTCGGACGATTTGTACCACTCTGCCGAGACTTAGAGGACTCACGACCGTTGGAATTGGTGTTGGTGTTCGTATTAGTATTATTATTACTATGATGATGAGGATAATGGTGATTACTATTCGGTTGAATCGTAGCTGTTGTCGTAATACTAGTGGTAGTAGGCAAGAAATAGGTGGAATCTAATCGAATACGAGGAACTATTTCAAAATGAACTGGTAATAAGTATGCATTCAACAATTGTATCTTCTGCACATAGGATGGTTGGGGTCTGCCATCATGTACCAACTGCCAAGGACGAAACCACAGCATTGGTGGATTACAACTCACTGATGGTGTTGAGAGAGTCACGGCGAGGGGAATCACTTGCCGCAATTCAGTTACTGGTGATACCAACGGAGGAATAAGAAAATCTCCTCCATGTACTCCTCCTAAAGTTCGTCTTTGTTGTGGAGAATGTATATGACGATCATTTTCATTATGATGATGATTATCAGCAGCAGTATTATTATTATTAGCATCATTTAAAGCGGTGTCACTGTTTGTGAGAAAGAGAATATTAAGTGTTGTCTCTACTTCGTTGGAGGAACGCAGTAAAGCATCTAATTCTTCTCTAGACTCTACATTGTATTCTACTGTTATATCAAAGGCATCGTATGGACGTAAACGGTATCTTGTCGTTGATACAAGTTCAGTATCAATACTTGATTGTCCACGATATTTAGATAATGAAGATTTTGATATCGTTACTTCCATCTTCGCTGTGTCTCCAGTCCTTCGTCTTTTACCTCTCTCTACAATTTGTTGTGCTTTCTGTCTATCATCAAAAGAGCTCCATTTTAAACTCTCCATTGCCCGTTGTGCTAATGAAGCCTCCTCATCATCTACTTCAAGTTCCTCGTGATCACTATTCATAGAGATAAACTCAGCGGATACAATGCGGAATGAAGGAGATGGTAAATCCAGTAAGAAATCAATGGTAGCACAGCGAGTATTGGTTAACCGTATAGATTGTCTACAATATTCACCTTCTAAATACTTTGGGAAACGAATAACACTACTGGATGGTTCCACATCTAATTGTGCCACTCCACATTGTGCCTGGAGTTCAAGTTCTGTGGGAATAAAATAACGTTTACACTGTTCTGTTAATTCCACTCGACGTTGGGCAATATAGGCACGTAGAGCTTTACGTTCTGTTTCACCTGCGAGAATAGTCTCTATTGGTGGACGGGAGACTTGATTGTGTGGGTGAAGTTCATCCAACTCACTTTCTGTGCAGGTCCCACTAGTAGTTGTTATTCTCCTCACACCATCATCATCTTTACCTTCATTATTATTATCTTCATACTCTTCCTCCTCCTCATCCTTATCTGAGCTATCCTCATGGATGGAACTTTCACTAACCTTATTACTATTGTTCCTGCTATGAACATTACCGCTACTACCATTATTATTATTGTTATTATTATTATTATCATTACCACCCTTCTCAGATTCATCATTTGGTAACCATCCTATATTATTCTTCAATATGGATAATTCTCTTGGACCAACTGAAAGAATCACATTCTTTTTCAACACTCCAGGACGAGAAAGAAACGGTTGTTTTACCTTTAACATAGCAATAGGGCGTACAATACTTTTCATCCATGCTGGTTCTGATTCTCCAAACCTTTTCCGTTTAAATACACGTTGTGCTGGATATTCTTCAGCATGAATGCGATAAAACTCATCAATAAGAAAACTATCATTAAAAGGTGTTTCCGCAATCTCTGCTGTAATAATAGCCCCACCACGCCATTCTCTTTCCCAACTTTGTTTAGGTACAAATGCAGCATCTGGTGTAAATTCAAGAGTAACGACTTTTGTGGACATACAAGGAAGAAGAAAATGACCTGGAGATGCGGATACTCTTCCATTTCTTTTTGATTCCAGTTTCTGTTGTTCTTCTGTAATAGGATCTAAACGTAATGTAACCTCACCGGCCTCTACATTATCATCAACCGCAACTACACAGAAAGCCATGGCGGAGAGAAATATCTGTACAGAGACATTCAAGTCTCGTGGAACCCGATTTACCAGAGAAACTGTACGTCGTGATCGTCCCAAACCAGCAATTACTGAAGGCATAAGAAGTACTTGTTTCCCATCTATTACATTATATCCTGCTGTAGTAAAATCAAATAATAATGGTTTTCCAGTTAATTCAAACTTTATAGGAATTTGTGTTGGGGGAATTTTACAACAAGACACTTGTAGTTTTTCTTCATATAATCCTGGAAGGTTTGCACAAATAGATAGAGGTAATAACACAGTACCATAGGGTTGAAGTGAACCTTCTATTGGTTTACCAAACACAGTTGCACATCCTCTACCATCTAATAATACATTCTGTGCATCTACTAAAGCCGCACGGCGTTCACGTTCACGTTGTTCTGTTCCATCTACACTTTTACACCAAAAGGCATGTTTTTCAGTACCCATAATTTTTGTCATCATTGTATTTCCTTTCCCTGTTCCACGAGAACTTGAAAGAGGAGAACTATTTCCTTGTTTTTGTTGAGATGATAGTTCTTTTCCTTCTCCATGTCCTTGAGTGAATTGCGGCATAGTTATTCGTGTATTTCTATTCCCACCCTGAGTGGTTTTAAAAGAGGTATTCATTATTCTTTTCCCATCTGTTTCTGTTCCTTCAATCATTGTCTCTGGGGTGTAACACATAGCTTCTACAGAGTATGAACTACGACAACCCGTTGTATTCTTTAGGCGTAAAACCATTAATTCTGACCATACAGGTTCCCAATCTGGTAAATGGGCCTTTAATACCACAGGTGGACAATAGGGTCTTAACATGAGTGGTGGTTCTTTTCTTTCCATTAAGGTATTTACATTTGCCGTCTCATTCTCTATATCAGTGGTAAAATAACTTCTTCTACTACCACTACTACTACTGTCCTTGTCAACAGAGAGTACATCATTATGAAACACTTTAACTTCAACAAGATTCCATAATAATGCTTCCATAAAGCTAGCAATATCCATGATTGGTGGTGGTGGAAGAGTATACGGTAAAACAGGTGGTGTACATGCCATTACAGAAGATCCTTCCATTACCTTAGGAATAGGAATAAGATCAAGTGATACCGTTAATTGTTGTACAGAATCACAACAAAGTTCTAAAAGAAGTTGTTGTTGTTGTGTACGTCCATTATTAATACGTAAAAGTCCTTCATAAGGTTCATTACCAGGTTTCCACGAAAAAACACAACGAACCGGAATAGAAATTCCATGATGTCCGGCTTGTATAACACCAGGAGGAGGTAAAGATACTTGTAAATAGGGAGGCACAACAGCCGTTTCTACACTGTAAGGAATATCAAATGCAGATGTATTGGATAGAATAAAGTTTTCTTCTACCCAAGCCCCATCTGGTACAACTCCATAATTCACAACGGCTTCTTGTAATATAAGTAAAGGTCTTTGAATAGTGGCACGTGTTTCAATTGCAATGGTTCCACCTCCTCGCACAACTAATTCAAAAAAGGTTTGTGAATCCCCTGTTTCCACTGCCTGACGGTATACCGTTACCTCTACAGACTCTCCAGCCCCAAGGCGGAAAGATGGTGGAAGAAATACAAATCGACGTGGTTCTCGCATCATTGGATCCTGTAAATCAAATAAAACAGGAATTGGATTATCATTCGTTACCGTAAAAGATGCTTCCCCTTCACTGCCTTCTTCAATGAGACCAAAATCTAAGAAATCTGTACTTGTACGTACAGAAGGTCCCACACCTGTAACACTAAGATGAAGTTGATGTGTACAACGCAGATTAGATAAAGATGATATTCCCAATGTTGTTGCTCTTCTCGTATCTCGTAGTAATTCCACAAGTTCTGGAATATAACAATCAATAGATAACGAAAAGTAATCCACAGCTCGTAGAATAAAGCGAAATGTAACGGTCACACTGCTATTGGGTTGTACACATCCTTTTCTTGGTTGAAATTTCACCTCTATATCTTCACGATCACTAATTGGTGAAAGTACCATCTCTGGAGGACACTCTTCTGGTTTTGGATCAAATACGAAATGTAATGGACGTGAGGAATTATTTTGTAATGTAATGCGGCGTACGTTTTCATACTGAACCAAACATTCCACACCTTCTTCCAAGTGATCTGGGACAATCACAAAGGATGGTACCACAGGATCTGCAAAGAGATAAAATCCAGTAGCAAAAACACCTCGATTCTCCTTTGGTTGAACTTTAGAGCAATATTGAAAAACACAATAGGGATCAGACATTTGATCAACTTGATTGTGATTTGGTAAAGCGGGAATTGTCTTTCGACGAGAGTACTCCGTCATTACATTCGCAACTGCAAGAGGTGAAACTCCCTCCATCACTGGTACTTCTTCTTCTTCTCCTTCTGGTGGTTCAGGTAATCCTTCTAGGAAAAGGTTTACCACCGCTGCAAAGGGAAATGCTCGTGAGGGTTGCATACAAACACGAAAAGAAGTTTTCTTGTGTGGAGCTAATATACCAGTAACAGGAGTTACACGGAATCGTACACCTGAAGGATCACTATTATTATCATGATGATGAATTGTTACCATTTTACCATCATTAGGATCTTTACTTGTATCATTAATAGGATCACTACGTATATACGTACCACCAATGGTTTCAGTAATCCAATAATATGGTAAAGGAATAGGGCAAGTATTACGTAATTCCACGATTACTTCTGTTTCCACACCGGGTGTAGTATCAGGTACAAGGTACTGTGGTATATTTGTTTTCTTATCTAATTGTTGTTGTTCTTGTTCTGCTTCTTTTTCTTCTTCCTGTTGCTTTCTTTCTTTCCCTTGTGGAGTTAATTCCATTGATCCAATACGAATAAGTTCAACTTTAGGTAATACACCTTCTCCACGTAATCCAAAATGATGTTCTGCTATAATAGGTCCATCTTCAAAATCTCGTACAACGATAAAAAGTCTTTCCGTTTCATATCTCGCTTCTTCCATTGGGGCGAAACAAACAGCAATCTCTACACGGTCTCCACCTGGTAATAAGATGGTAGTTTCAGGAGTAGGACTAACCTTAAAGTAGGGTGAACTACTTCTTAATGAGATGACAGCATCTGATCCTATATTTTCCAGATAATACCATCTTGTACAAGAATTCATAAGAAAGGTATATGGAAAATCACATGATGAAACATCCTCTTCCATTATTCTTGAGGATCCATATCTTTTACCAACAACAGAAGTAGTTTTCATACTTGCAACACTATTAGAAGGAGTAATAGTAGTACTGACGTTGCTAGTAGCGCTATTAGGAATAGTATTAGGAACAGTAGCAGTCGTAAGAGCTGTATTGGTAGGAGTAGGAGTAGTATTAGTACCAGTAGTAAGAGGAAACGAAATGGCACTCCCTTCTTCTCCTCCCATAAACATTGGAATAAGACGAAACTGTGGAAGAATAGTCTCACACAATACCGTAACTTCAAAGAAATTCCATTTTGCTCCCTCACCTCGTCGAGAGTTTAATTCCCTACAATAACCAAGTTGTAGTACTTGTTCAATAAAAGGTTCTGCTGAACTTTGGGGTTCAAATGTTATTCGTATATCAATAAAACCCCCACAAACAAGTGGTGCACTTATAGTAGTACAAACACTTGAGGGTGTTGCTATGGATGAAGATGATATGGAAGAAGAAGGTTGACCTAAAGATGTTGTACCCAGAGATGAATTCACTATAGAATAAGTAATCCATGCATGATTGGAAGGACGAACACGCAGACGAAGTCTTTTAGGATCACGGTTAATAAAACGAACAACTGTACTTGCCTCTAAACCTGCTGTGGTTCGCAATTTAACACAGTTATCCACTGCAGTACATTCAAGAGTTGTAACATGACTAGAAACATTACTCCGTTCAGATGGGAAAGGGGTAGTACCTGTTGCCTTTGCAGATGGATATTCATCACCTTCTGTAGTATTAAGTGATGGAAGTATAATTTTCGATTTATGAATATGATGACCTCCTTCTGCTACTCCTGCTGCTACTGCTGTTCCTGTTGTGGTTGTTACTATTGTTGGAAAAGTATTCATTTGACGTTTTTGAAATTTCTCATCACTTTTTCTCTTCAACGGTGGTAGTGTGGGATTCCAAGAAGCCCCTCCTATATTCATTCCATCACCAGGTGTATGTTGAAGTAGTTTCTCCTCTAAAGTGAGAGGTGGAGGAGGAGGAGGAGGAGAAGAAGAACTTTCTCCTTTATCTGGTGAATGCACTAATGCAGGTCGAAAACCATATTCTTTCTCTAAAGTTAGGTTAAGATCATTTGCGAAACCAACAGCATCAATGATAAATTCACATTCATCCAAATTACGATCTAATTCATTCTCATCAAGAAAAGTAGGACGTAATGAAACTTTAGAAGCTTCTGTTCCCGTTTGTGAAATCCCACCACTCATAGGTCTAGTGGAAGAAACTACCAATGGTGTTTGTGTTTCACTGACATCATCATATTTATTACATATTTCATCACTAGTAACATTTACAGTGGCTATAGGTGTTCTTGTTTTTGTAGAAATTGTTTTTGGAGACTCTTTCGGTGCTCCTCGCAAGACATCATCCATCATATATTCTTCTATACCATGTGCAGAGAAAAATTCTTCCTGTCGTTGAGCATTTGCAGAATGTAATTCTGAAACCTCACGTGCTTGTTGAGCCTGTTGTTTACTAGTACGTAAGACAACTTGCCAAAACTCCCGTTCTCGTGCTTTAATCATATCCGTTTCCTTCTCTTTTGTGAGTCGTGAGGCATTACGGGCCGCCGCTACCATCAGCGCCGCCTTACTCGCCCCACTTGCAGAGACATGTGAAGTTAATCTACTTCCCATACCACGTCTAGAGGGAACACTATTTTTTTTCTGATGTCCGGCATCCTTTTTCTCTGAAACGGTGGTGTTTGGATCGGTATTTGTTTGGTTTGCCGCTACTGTCTCTGGTGGTCTTTCACGTATACGTTGGAGTTCGGCCTGAAACAATACATCTTCTTCCTTCTCTAACGATTCCAGATCATGCAATTCATCTGCAAAGAGATCCATAGCCTGTGAGGTCCATGCAGACTCCAGCAGTGCTGTGGGATTGAGATCGGCGGGGTCCATTTCTTTAAAAAAAGATTACTAGACTACACTACAATTACACTAGACACCACTTTCTTTTTTTTTTTTTCTTCTTTGTTAATCTCAACTCTACTGCTATTGTTCTTATTATTATTGATATTCTTGTTCTTTATCGTCACTGTTGCAGGTATTGTTTTTTTTTTTTTGTTTTTCTTTCCTTCTCTCTTTCCTGCAGGTGTCCCAATGGGGAGGAAATTCCTTCTTACGTCTGTAGATTCCTCCAACACCTCTACAAGCTATAGGGTAGATGTGTACAACAGAAAGAAAAGAAAAAAAAAGAAAAAGAAAATGGGTACAAAAAAAAAAAAAAAAAAAATATGTATGGCATAGTCTTTTTCTCTTTTTTTTTTCTTTGCGTCGTTAATAGTAAAACTGTAACACGCAGAAATTCTATGGTAATGAGTGGAACTACAGCCAGGTAAAGTGCGAACCGCACAGAATGGCAGTTTCACATACAATCCCTCCCTTCAAGTACAGAAAAAACAACAGCACAACAGAAGGGGTTAAGCTGGAATGGAGAAAATAACAATAATAATAATAATAATAATAATAATAATAATAATATCATTATCATTATTATTAGGAATGAGTAACAATGATGAATAAATGGGGAAATGAGAGAGAGAAAGAGAGTGAATGAGTGAGTGATATCAAAAATAAGAGAATAACTCATCGTTACAATTGTATTAAGAATAACAAATAGGAACAGTGGAAACAGAATTTCATGCCATTCCAATCTCGTTATACACTACATTTATGAATTTCTCTCACCTGTAATTTCGATTCTTTCTTTCCATCTCCCCCATATTTACACACGCAGAGAAATATATATATATTATTCCCTTCCATCGGCCATTGCTGAGAAAGATACAAAAAAAAGAAAAACGCTACACTATTAAAAAGTACTCTTCCTGAGCGTCTATCAAGTTGGAGACAGCCAGTTGAAATCTCTCAACACTCTCTTGCAGAGCTTCTAGCATTTTCTGTGCCTTTTGTTCTGCAGTCGTAGAACCAGTAATTTGTTTTTCCTCTCCTTTTGATCCTTGAACAATACTGCTGCTGCTATTTCGACTATCCCCACTCTCTGATGATGGTGTAGTAGCCAAAAGATCAAGAAGAAAACACGCATCTGGTACACAAGCCATATCCTTTACTTCCTTTTCCGTCTTTTTTTCTTCAACATTATCTCGTGTCTTCTCTCCTGCGAGGGTTTGCATTTGTTCCTCCAGACCTTGCCAGGGAACGTAAATAAAGAGAGAATCGATATCATTCTGAACACGTGAACGTACTAACGCCTCACACCACACAAAACGATCATCCATTCCCTCTAAACGTGAACAAGAACAAGAAGAACAAGAAGAATGTGTTGATGATGATGATGTCATTGTTGGTTCTGCAGAATTGTCTAATCGTTGTGCTCGCTTTACTGGTGTAGGGACCCGTTTAACGATGTTTGTACAGTGTGTTAACATCATTGCCGCCCAGTCCAGTACATCACAAGCCCGACGAATATGTTTTTCAGCCAGTGCGGATCGACTTAACACAGTTGCAAAGGGAGATTCCACATGTCCAAGAATACGTCTATCTTTAGTGGGAATAGGGGCCTGTCGAGTACGGCGAAAAGTATCCAAAAAGACATCTAATGGAATAAGACGGAGACGTAATGTTTTTGGTGTTTTTCTCCCTATTCGTTGATATATACTATGACGGGGAAAAGGTGCAGCTATACGATCCAAATGGCGTTGAAGATTCGTTTCTGCCTTTAATCGTTGAAGTCTAGATCCACCCCAAGTGGCGGTAGCTTCATACTCTTTTGCTAACTGAACATGTTGTTTTAATGATATTTCCACATGACGAAGAACATCCCCAACCGCTTCTGCGATAAGACGGACAAAAAATGAAACACAAAGCCATACAATAAATGGTTTTGTAGTAGATGATACTTCACATTCTTCATCTTCTTGATCATGTGATGTTGTTAATTGTTGATTTTGATTTTGATTCGATGATGTCAAGGTTGAAACTTCCTTTTTCACATCTTCAGATGAGGAAGTTGGATCAGTTCCAGTTCCAATTCCAGTTCCAGATACTATTGCCCCTGCCCCTGATGCTGCCGCTGCTGACATGTGTTTCGCATATTCTATCATCATTTCATCATCAAGTTGTAAAGTATAACGTAAGAAGAGGTACTTGGAAGCGTATACTGCTGAACTAACAGGATTTGGTAAATTACGTGGAAGTTTTCCCCCTTGTATCTCTACTGCTAACATAAGAAGGTCAGTAAGATCTATAAAGAGTTTCCGTCGTGTTAATCGTTGTACATGTTCAGGGAGTCGTGACCATACTCTATCCGCTAAAAAAGGTGCCGCATCACGAATATAATCTGCAAAAAACGTTTGACACCGTGTAGCATCATGATAAAGTGTAAATATATCCGTAGAAGTATTAGAGAGACGAGCTAAACCTTGAACATAGGCAACACGTCTAAGACAACGTAATAACTCTAGACATTGGGTATAAGTGTATTCATGATAATGTTCTGCCCCTGCAATAGCGAGGGAAACAGCTAGAGCTGGATTCTCCACCTCCATAGTTGCATATACCTTTAATAATAATAGTAAAGAACGTGTAGGGAGTCCAATAATTGGTACTCGTCCAATACTTTGTTGTAATCGCAGCATTTCACTCACACTTGCAGCTTCTCGATTGGTCGCTTTCCAGCGAACATTCATCGATACTTCTGTAGGAGATGAGACAAGTGGTCCACGTGTGGCATCTACTACAATAGCAGGAATTGTGTCTACACCACTAAAACCAAGACTACCTTTTGGAATTAATGGACCTTTACGTCGTCCACGTGTTCGAAATATAGAGAGAGGAACCTGCTCTCCATCTAACTCTACACAATTTACACCTATACTCTCTTGTTTTTGTTCTTCTTGTTGTTGCCGTTGTTGTTGTGATGTGGATGCAAATGGTAGACAATGCTCTGTCATTGTACGCATACTCGGTGGGACAAGACTTGGTGCTAACATTTCATCCTCACGATCCCATTGAAATCGAAGTTCTAAAAGTCTTTCAATTGTACGGTCAAGTCCATCATCTCCAAATTGTGGTAATGTCTGTTCCAAGACATCTTGTCGTTTTCTATGTGTTCGCACACCTCCAGTCGCACGTCCCCAGAAGGGAGTCCAACTACGATTTGGATTCGTCATCACCTGCACAGTATCATAGGAGGAGACGTGCCCATTTGTGCGGATGACTGGTGGACTGTACGTGGGGGAAGTTCTATACTCCGCACGGAAATAGTTTGCGAATGGCCGCTTAGACTTTTTTAAGTTTTTACGATCCGCATGTTGACGGGCGGCGATGCCGGCATCCAATTCCTGATGAGATGCGAGTGTGGGGGCGAGCCACGCTCTTCGGTGTGGTGGTCGCCGTACATGCGGTGCGAGCCGCTGAATGGTGTGGCGACATCCCATTTCACTTTAGCCGCAATCTCAACAGCGGCACGCAGAGAGGGGAGTGAGAGGGGAATGGCACTATTTACCGTACCTCTTCTCTTCTTTACTTTGGCGGTGAGGTGAGGTGTGGATAATAGAGATATCAGACACACGCCCAAAGAAATAATAAGAATAATAATAGAGGAAAGGAAAGGAAAGGAAAGGGAAAAAAAGAGCAATCATATGAAAAGAGAATCATAAAAAGCAAACAAAGAGAAAAATAGAGAAAAGGAATATGCAGTGAATAGAAAAAAAACATACAAATAATAATAATTAATAATTAATAATAATAAAAACAGATACTTTTCTTTTTTTAAAAAAAAGACATCACGGAATATTATCACTTGCCTGTTGTTCTTATCACACTTGTTTTTTTTTTTTTGGTTTTTCTCTCGGAGGGTTTCTCTAGCCTCCACGTAAAGAAGAAAGAGATCGTATAATAAAGCCTGCTCGAGAAAATGTCAGCCATTTAGAATGGTTGCAATACTCAATATGGGGAAGAGGAAGAGGGGATAAGAAGAAAGACTAAACAAGGGGAATAATAATAATAATAATAATAAAAACATCATTTGGCTCAAAGGAAGAGAAATAAATAATAATAATAATAATAATAATAATAATAATAATAATAATAATAATAATATAAATTCAAAACTTCACGCATAGTTACCCTTTGCTGTTAAGCCATTGGGTGCGTGATCATCCTTCCAATTTGCCATTCTAACATCACGCTGACGTTGTCTCTCTTCAATACCATCAGGGCCAAGTCGTTCATCTTCTTCCTCTTGTTGTCGTTTTGCCTCCGCCTCCATATCCATACGGCGTTGGACATCTGCCATTTCCATATCTGCAAATTCCTGCAGTGTCATGGTTGGTTTATTACGTTCCATCATTAACTCATCCACAACTTGTTGACGAAAGGCTTGTTGATTAGCAATAGCACTCATGGCGATGCTATTAAGTTTTGCCGTTGGTACTGGACCTCCAACCGCAATAAGACCTCCTGGGAGAATTGTATATGTTTGTCTACCAAGTGATTTCTCTCCACGCTGCACAGCTTCAATAGTGTCTTGATGTGCCTTTGCAACGGCCTCTCGTTTCTCAGGTGAAAGTGATTGCAACATCTCTAATTCTCGTGAAGAGAGTTGTAATTGATGACAGGCTTCATAAATAGACCAGCGGAGACGTGCTAAAGCACGATTACGAAGGACTTCCTCTTCATCACCACCAGTATTCTCCATATCTTCACCATCTTCACTCATTAATGCCTGCATTCGTTTACGTTTCGCTTGTAAATACTGTACCTGATCTTCACTGCGGTGCATCTCTTGTTCAAGTTCACGACACTTGCGAGAGAGTTCAATCCGTTGTGTACGGTTATCGCCATCGTACTTACGGTAAGTTTCCAATGTACGTTCATCTACCAGTTCATAGTCTAATGCCCATTTAAAGAATAAATCATACCAGCTGTGAGAACATGCGAGGGCCTCTTCACGTGTTATTCCACTAGATGAAGTATTTGTTTGAGAAGTCATTGAAGGAGTAGGTAATTGTCCCTGTACACGCTGATATAAATCTGCGATAATGTACGGCGTCCATAGAAGTTCCAGTGAAGTTGTAGATAAATCATCTAATTCTTCATTGGGTGAAAAAACACCTAAAACTGCCATTTGATGCCATAATTGCTCAAACTGCGGAATAAGGTTTCTAGCAGCAGCATCCATTTCACTAGAAGTATTACCATTTAAGATTTTTTCTTTATACTGACGAACCAGTTCAGTGAAGTGACCCTTCACAGTGGTGTTTGAACCGCTTCCACTGCTACTTGACATTTCTATTATTATTATTTTTTAGTTCCTTTCTTTACTTTTTTTTCTTTACAACTTTTCTCTCTTTTTTTTTTTTTTAATTTACAGTACACGTGTATGCATTAATAATAAAAGATAATAAAAAAAAAGAGAAGGGGCATTGGGTTAAAGAGTTAATATTATAAGGCAGTGTACTAGAGATTGATATTAACAGAAAACAATAGGTGTATATAAATATAAATTTATATACCATATATTCATAAATACAAGAATAGCTAATAACAAATAACAACGATAATGTAGTTAGAATGACAATAATAAAAAATAGAAATAATAAAAAAAATATACATTTTCTTTACCTGAGGAGTATCCAATTCCTTCCTTCTTTCTTGACACTTGGTAACGCTAGTCTCCAGTATATCTGGGTCCCGGTTCATATACACCCCGCTTAAAAGCTTGTTGCATCATGGGATGATCCATAAAAACATCCTGTCGAAACTTCTGTATTGGTTTCTCTTCCTTGTTTCTATGCATTTGTTTCTTTTCTCGTTCCTTTTCGTTTTCTGCACGTTCTTCTTCTTCTTCCGCGTCTGCCTCCAAATCCTCATCCTCAATTCCTGTACCTGGTCGTGCCTTTTCTCGTGTTTTCCGCCATCCGAGTACTTCACCCGGTGTGTGATGAGGACCTGTTGTAAAGTCCTCTGGAGTGATATTGTGCCGCTGTGCAAATCGTTCCGTCCACTTTTCTGCTAAATCCCGTTCTTTAGACATTAATGCACATCGCCGCAGTGAGGCACAGAGAGAAAGTCGAATGCCTGTACGTGAAGTCATGGGAATAGGGGAGGAAGGTTCTTGTAATTCTTTCCATAGTAATTCACCGCGTTGGAGGGCCTCTATCCGCTCCTCTGTACGTGGACTACGGGCGAGTGTGAGAATTAACCGTCCCTCTGTGTCTATTGTTTGCATGCGAGGGGCGTTATCGTTTTCTTGTCGCCGCAGTCGATCACGTAATTGCGGAATGGAGAGTGGAAGCTCATCACTGATTTGGAATCGCCGTATAGGCGTTGGAGAGGCCAATAGAGTATAAAATCGTCGCTGCTGCTGTTGTTGCTGTGGAGTGAAGGGAGAACACACCGCTGAGATGAGAAGAGATGCTGCAGAGCCACGCCATACTGCTGTATGCATACGGCCCCTAATGGATTTTGTTTACTATTGTAAATAATATTTGTTATTGTTTGTTTGTCTGTTTGTTTGTTTTTCCTTCACACTTACAGTAGAAGCATATAAACACACTAACACAACTAGGTGGGAGGTTGATAATGTTGTTGTTGCCGCACTTTCCAAAAAAAATAAATAATATATACATAAAACAATAAATAAAATAAAAAGGAGAAGAAGAAGAGATATTACGAATGTGAAAAGACACAGTAAAAAATAAAAAGAGATAAGAAATGACTGTTATCTATATAAAGTCTCAGATCCAACCAAACAAGCAAGAAATAAATAAATAATAAGGATAGAAACTTCCAAAAAGGGGGAAGAGAAACTAGAAACCCCTTCTGAAACTGCAGAGAGTGAAAGAAAGAAAGCCAGACGTCTCTCTCCATTTTAAAGGGCAATTTCCTTCATCCCTCTTTCTTTTTTTGTTTTTGTTTTTAAGATCGCCAGCGGCTACTTAAAGAAGAGGATCCATTAAAATCACAAACACAACCAATAATAACTACAACTACAACAACAACAACAACAACAACAACAACAACGACAACAAAATCAAAATCAAACGCTGCAAGGAATCGGCACTTTAAAAGGATATGCAAGAAGTTTCCTTTTTTTTCTTTTCTTTTTCTTTTTCCTCTCAGTAGTGCTTCCAATCCATAGCCTCTTCCCCTTGTTCATGTTCATCATCGTAATCACCGTTCATAGGGAAATCGCGATCATTTACTTCGGCATCATCTACCACCTGTAATACCTCATCCACCAGCTCGCATAGATTTCCCACATACGCTATATCTGTAATATCCATTGGGCGAAATGTTACCAGATTAAAATCAGAAATAACAGATGCCATTGTACGAACCATTTCACGCCATCGCTCTGGAAGGGGTTTTGTATTTAAATAGTCAAAATCACATGTGCAGAAGTGTTCCAATGCCTCTTCTTTAACATTACGTGGGAGAAGATCACACTTGGTGAGAACATTCAAAAAAGGACAATCAAAACACACCATACTGGAAAGGGCGAAGGTACAACCAGAGACAAACTTTCCCGCATCTGCGGTTGCGGCTAACGCATCCAAAAGAAAAAGAACCACAACATTATAACCAGAACGCTGTAAGAGTTTTACAAATTCAGGTACAGCAGGAATATGTGAAAGAACCTCCACTTGTCCTGGCATATCAACAATAATAAAATCCTCTGCATGATCACCTAATTGATCATTAATCCATACCTCACCTTGGCTTAGTAAGTATTCCATACAAAACACTAATCCACCATTTGGACCAAGTCCTTTTCCTTCCATCGCGTCTTCTAAAGAAATGAGTTCACGAATATCCATGGATGGATTGTATGGTAACTCATCCGCAGCAGGATCAAAATTACAGATATGTGTAGAACGACCCTTCGTCGCATAGTGTTCAGCCAGAACAGTGCAAAGAGTACTTTTACCACTACCTGCTGGACCAATAACAACAACAGCGTACTTCCCCATTATTTTTTTATAATATAAAATGGCAGCAGTAACAATCTCCTCCTACTAAAGTAAAAAAGGTAAAAAAAAAAAAGAAAAAAAAAGAAAAAAGAAAATACAAACAAAAAAAACAGAAATCTCATCATTCTATTCATAAATAGTATTTCCTATAATCATAATTCTTTTTTTTTTCCAATAGTTGTAGCTATTCTTTCTCTTTGGTTGGTTGATTGGTTGGTGTTTTTTTTTTTTTTTTTTTTTTTTTTTTTTTTTTTTTTTTTTTTTTTTTTTTTTTTTTTTTTTTTTTTTTTTTTTTGCACGGGGTTTGTATCTTGTTATACCTCACCTTTAGGCCTTTCTTCCCTTTTTTTCTTCTTTCTTTTTCTTTTTTCTTGTTCGCTCTCTCACGCATTCCATATTACTCTATCCCAATAGGAAGAGTCTCTGGTATTCTTTTCTTTTTTTTCCCCTATTCTCGCCGCTGCCGAGAATTTCGTTCGAACTCGGCATCCGTTGATAAACCTTTGCCGTCATTTTCCATACGACTATGTTTACTACCAGCAACATTATTCAAATCATCATCAATTTGCGTTGGATCCTTCGAATGCATATATGATCCCCCATGAGAGTTCGTTACGTTATCTACATCATAACGTCCAGGTGTATTTCCCTGAGATGTGTTGTAACCTCCACGATGATCATGATATGAGTTCTTCTTATTACGTACCGGAGGTGCAGTAGGATCAGTGGAAGTCACGAGAGAACTACTGATAAATGTTGGTGTAAATGTAGGCATTCCTGTTATTCCTTCAGGTGGACGAATCATTCGTGGAGCTCCACTACTGTAAGGATCTATCATTCCTCCTGATGTGGATACCTCTGTTGTGCCGGCTTCCTTGGATTCTTCATTTGTTGGGGATGTGTTATCATCCATAGTGGTATCATCACCATCTCTGGCATTAACTTCATCATTATTATTATTACTATCGTTGTTGTAAAGATGTGTTCGTCGATGAGCAGCAGCAGTTTGTGGCATTGGTCCATCAAGACCTAAATCCGCCAATGTAAATTGATGGACAACAGTAAAAAAATTCCATTCAAGTTTATCTCGAAGTTCTTCATCTGTAAGTAATGCGGCTTTACGGCGAGCTATAGCTGCCTTTGCATATTTTACTTTTTCTTCACAAATAGTTTCAACAACATTACGTGGGGATTGATATTGTTCTAGTCGGTCCTCTACTTTCTCAGGATCATGATGTAAAATTAAACGGTAGGACTCCACAAGTTTTAAAAGAACTTCATGTCGAACATCTTCACTGTTTAAGAATCTAAACGCTACATTATTACGGTATCTACCAAGAAGATCTTTCAGAAATCGATCTCCATATTTAGCTATATACTGTGCTGTACAAGTCATATAGCTTAGTGTCATAGCTGGCATATCTACAGTTCCTTGTAAGAGATCCAGTGAATAACGATTAGGAAAAGGATCTTCAAGATATCGTTGAGCTTCAATCTCAGCTTGTCGAAGTGCTTCATCTCGTTTAGGATCATGACGTGCTGTTGTTCCACCTTCACGCCGTACAATACCACCAGCTTTAATCGTTGTAGTTGTATTAGATGCCATTGTAGCTCCAGCAGCAGCAGCTCCTGTTGTTGTTGTTTTTGTTGTTTCTCCTGCCCCAGTAGGGGTTTCTTTCTTTTCCTCTGTTGGAATCAGTTCTGGGTGAGCACGGTATTCATTTAATCTCTGTAGAAAGAAAGGGTAAAAGACATGTGTCATTTCAAAATAAAGAAACTCCTCTCGCTTTGGACTTGCGAGAACCTTTGCCATCATCTCCTCTGCCTTTCGCTTATCCCGCTTGGCCAGACTTGCGGCGGACTTATCAATCTTCGCACGCAGTTCCGGCCCGGGGGCGATAATGCCGGGAGTGGTGTCATCCTCCGTGGACATTTCTTTCTACAAGCCGTCGTGCTTCTCCACACGCACCCTTTCACTAGGTGTAATATAATTAAGAATAAAAATAAAAATAAAAAAAAAGAGTTAGGTGATTATAATGAAAGAAAAGAGTAGAAGGGAATAAAAAAAACAACACGAGAGAATTAAAAAGAAGGTACACACACAGAGAGAAAAAAAAAATAATAATAAATCCCGCTTTAACAATAAAAATGTGATGAAGCCAAAAGCATCATACTCACCAATACGTTTATCTCTTTTTTTTTTTACTTCTTCTTTTGGCTTCAACTTTATTACGACGTTCCATTTGATGCAGAACTGAAGTTCACCGTTACGGTATCTAGATGTGGGGAATTTACATTCACCAGCACAAGTACACCAGTTCGTGCGAAGGATGGTACACAAACAAGTCGAACACCAGCATCATTGTTTTCATATCCTTCTTCATCCATAGCAGCATCTTTGAGTGGGCCAAAAGATTCCAAAGACTCCCATCGTGTTTGCATTTCAGGTTGATCACAGCAAATAAAACAATGGGGTGCAGATTGAAATAAAAATGGATCTGAATCTTTAAACGGATAACTAAAGAGTGTATTAGGTGCTGTTGGACAAGCACAACCACTTTGAAGCATCATAGACATGGCATCCAGACGTGAAGGATATATAGTTTCACGGCAAACATCATTTAAACTACTACCAGATGAAATAAAAAATGAAGTACCACCTTCTGTTGGTTTTCCTGTAGAGGTTAACTTTGGTATTGTACTTGTATTGGGAAATACAGAGAATTCATGAGGGTTTGTCACTAGTTTTAGTGAAGAACGTCTTGCCGCTTCTGGAAGTAAAAGTGGATGAAGAGGTTGTTGTGGTTGAAAGGCGTTAGACATATCATAATCTCCTGGCATAAGATCCACCTCAATCGTATCGGCTACTCTAGTTAGAATTTTATCCAATTCACTCATAAGCATAGCGGAGTTTACCACTCCCGTTCCACGACGATCATCACCAAGACGGACATGATCAGAAGGATCTAATTTGACCTTCTTTTTTAACTTTAGTTCATCTGTAGGAGCAATACTATTTCCAGCAATGACCAAACGTGCAATTTGTGAGGCCTGTGTCGTCATATTTTCATCCCCAACATTACCACTAAGATAATCTACTAAAAGTTCTATCATTGTCCGGTTTCGCACGACTTCTGGATCTTCCATCTGTGGATATCCCAATTCAAGACCAGACACAAACGCTATATAGCATGGTTTAAGTTGTGAATAATCATGTAGTGTACGTGGTATGTATATATCTCTTAAATCTGTCATAGCATAGCTGTGTACTTTAAGGCATCCATTTTTATGAAGGGTTCCATCTACACTTATCACTAAACCAGTACAAAGTAACTCAGGAGATATATTTTCAAGAAGTACTCGACCACTGCTATCTTCTATAAACACCTCATCTGTTGTTCTACACAATGTATGTTGCTCATGCTGTTTATTTGGTTCTCCTACAAGTAATTCAGAACCAGCATCTCCTGCTCCTAATGGAGTATCTGGATCATCTGCAGAGGGTGGAAGATCACAGAGAATATCAGCGGCATCTGCCTTATCCACACCATCTTCTTCCTCACCTGTCTCAATACGAACTAATTCTTTTTGGTATTCATGAAGAAAAGATGGAAGTAAACGCATTTGTTTGTAAATAACACCCACACAAAGAGCCCGTTGGCCTGTTTGAAGTTCTAAAAGAGGTGATAAGGATGGTATAGATTCACCATTGGGAGGATTTGATGTATTTATCTTTGCCGTGAGTGCAGATAAGGCACGTTGCTGTAGGGATTCCAGTCTACAACGATACATGGCTGCATACTGTTGTGTGAATTGCAATTGGCGAAGAAGAAATCGTTGATGTGTGCGTTGGATCGGTAAAGCCACACGCTGCTGTGGCACTTCAGCACTCACCCCACTCTTTTCAATCGTTGACATGATCGCCTCACGTTCTTGTCTGAGCAGCAAAGTCTATATATATATATATATGTCAAGAGTAAACAAAAAAAAAACAAAAAAAAATGAAGTAGAGAAAGAAAAAAAAAAGGAAAAAAAAAAGAAAAGAGAAAAAAAAAGTAAAAAGTACTGCAACATATTAACAGGTTATTATAAACAGCAATAAATGTTAAGGAAAGAAAATTAATAGGAACAATAACGCGAGAGGGAGAGCGGTATGAAATTTCACTTAAAAAAAAAAAAACAAAGGCCTCATTCTCACGCACAATGTAACACAAATTTTTCTCTTTACTCCCTCTCTTCTCTTTTTTTCTTTCTTTCTTCTTATTGCGCGTTTGGGAAATGATTCTTTCTTTTTTTTTTCTCTAGTTTAGGAGTGAGTTTGCGCCAAGGGAAAAACTGGGATGCTGGAGATGATGATTACACACCACAGCAATAAAAGTATCATATGATATAATACCTCCATAAAACTCTTTTTTAATTCTGGCCGTTTATCTTCAGTGTGCCATCAACAATACTCTCCGTGCGTTTGTTTGTATTTGTATGTATGTATGTTTGCCTCTCTCTCTCTCTTTCTCTCTCTCTCTCTGTGTATATGGTGTGAAGAGAAGAGTGTGGGGGAATTTTCACGGACCCGCGAAAAAAAGGGTGGGTGCAAACAAACATGAGGCGGACATGCACCCGAGAGCGCAAAAAAACAACAACAATTAAAAAAAAAAGATGAGTTAGAATGAATGATAAGAAAATTCAACAAAAATACAATTTTCAAAAAAAAAAAAAAAAGAATCAATAAAACGGAGAAAAAGCAAAGGAAAGGAAGAGGGGGGCGTAGAAAAGGGATAGCAAAATATTTGCATTCATGTGTATATATTGAATGTATACCACCTCATTACTAATAACCCTCTCCTATCTCCTTTACTACTTCACCGCATCCTGATATTTCTCGTTTTCTTTCTCTTTTCCAATCATTCTATCAGTTGCGCCAGCATGTTTTCTGTTCTAAGAGTCGTGATGCACACACCAACAAACACACACCCCTTTTTTTTTTTCTTCCCTCCACTCTATACTCTGTGTACACATACAGCAAACAAAAAAAACAAAAAAACAAAACGAAACCCACGCACTTGCTCACCAGTCTGAGAGAAATGTACGGAAATTATCATCATGCTGCCATCTTTTCTCTTTTTTTCCCTTTTTTTTTCATTCCTTATAAGTTTAAGTCTTGGGGGGCGTTGTGTGTTTCTTGACGTTTGACTCTGTCCATGCCTTTTCTTTTCTTTCTTTTTTTTTTTTATTATTTCTGTAACCTCTATCTTCCTCTCGCCTCTCCTCCCTCTTCACCTCCCTCTTATGTGTCTTATTCTCAATCGTTTCGTCTCGTTCCTTTTTCACAGTTGTGTAGTGACCCAAAAATAAAAAGGGGGTTAGAATAACTTTTAGGAGATGTGAGAAGGCGGAGTTCTTTCTTTTCCTTCTTTCTTCTCTCATTTTTTTTTCCTCTTTTCTCGCTCTCTCTCTCTGGCTCTCTCTCGCTTTTCTCATTCATTGCATTTTTCTTTTTTCTTTTTATTAAACAAACTACCCAGAAACCTTCTTTCTAGTCATCGTCACCCATTGGCAACGGCGCATTCTCAACAGCGCGTGCCTCCTCTTGCAGGGCCTGCAATTGCTCTGCGGAGAGTGGCTGCACATTGGGGTCAAGCATGGGCGCCTCCACCAGTGTGAGGTTGGGATCATTTGCCAATTTCTTTGCCAACCAAAGGAATGGCTTTTCAAAGTTGTAGTTCGACTTGGCGGAGATATCATAGTATTGAAGTCCCTTCTTGCGATGGAAGGTGATCATCTTCGCCTTCACCTGACGGTCCGCGCAGTCTACTTTGTTTCCTACCAGCACGATAGGAATGTTGTCACACACGCGTGTAATGTCACGATGCCAGTTAGGTACATTCTTGTATGTATTGCGACTCGTCACATCGAACATGATGATAGCGCATTGTCCCTCAATGTAGTAACCATCACGCAGTCCACCAAACTTCTCCTGCCCTGCGGTATCCCAGCAGTTAAAGCAGATCTTACCGCGGTTTGTGTGGAATGTCAGTGGGTGGACATCCACGCCCACCGTTGCCACATAGCGCTTCTCAAACTCACCTGTTAAGTGACGCTTCACAAATGTTGTCTTTCCCGTACCACCATCACCAACAAGAATGAGCTTGAAAGTAGCCACACAATCAGATGCTGAAGAAGCCTGCATCCTGTAAATAAACAAGTATTATAATAGATTTGCTCTTATCGTTCTTCTTTAATTTACTGATATTACGAAGTCTCTCTCTCTCTCTTTTTTTTTTCTTTTCTTTTTCTCAAATATATTTTTCCTTATTAATATTATCTCGCCTCCTTATCTATTAATATGAGAACAATTGAAGTCTTTATAGTTTGACCATGAAAATAAATAAAAAAAAAGAAAAGAAAGGAGAGAAGAGAAAAAAGTGAAAACATAATAATAATAAAAAAGAAATACTTAATAAAAGAAACACAAGTTATTATAGAAAGTCACAACAGAAGGGGGAAAAAAATGATGAGAAAATCTTTTGTTTTTCTCGATCACTTCTTTCATTCCCACAAGGAATTGGCGCCTAAATATGAGCATAAAAGGCAGTACCTTTTTCTTTCTTTTTTTTTTCTTCCTTTCTCATGTTTTGCTTTCCTGTTTTGAATAGCAGCAAACAGTCACAAATGACAATACTGTTTATTTTTTCCATCTTTCACACCTTTTACTCAATTCTTTCTTTCAGAAAATATCAGATTTCTTTGTTGTTCCTTTCGTCTACCTTCTTCCAATAGGAAACCAGACTCTACAGTGACTCTCATTTTCTTCTTTTTTTCTTTTTCTTTCGTTGCCGCCAAAACATCTTGATACCGCTATTATGCGCTCTTCTTCCATCGCATTATTCTTACATTTCTCATCAGAGTGCAAAATCAGAAACGAAGAATATGAGGGATAAATCCCGACAGATGCTGGAAACGGAAAGAAAAAGAAAAAGGAAACAATCGAAAATAGAAACAGTAAAAAAAAAAAACTAAAAAATAAAAAAAGGAGACTGGGTGGGTAAAATAGGTGGAAAGGATGGAAAAAAAAAGGCACAGAACTTACATATTTGTTTTACTTCCTTCACCTGCCGTAACACATGGTGAAAACATACAGTCTCCATTTCCCTTTTTTTTTCACTGTTCTCCATCTAGTTGCATAATTTTATTTTTTTCTTGGTTACTCTTCCTCTTCATTCAACCCTCTCTCTCTCTATGTATCTTTCTTTCTTTCCTTCCTTCTCTGATATACACAGACAAATACACATATACAAGAAAAAAAAAGTTGGGAAGTGGGAAAGCCAATCAAAAAGAAAAAAAAAAATCTCAAAGAGTGAACTTAAATGCTCCCACTACTACCACTGCTGCTATCATCGTCCGAGTCGTCGCTGTCAGTGCTGATATCGGAGGTGTCAATGTCAGAATCACTATCATCATCGGTCTCACTCTCATCATCATCATCATCGTCACCCTCACTCATACCACCACCACCGCCGCCTCCTCTTCCTCCACCATACGGATTGTACCCAGACGATGGTCCAGACCCACCGCCCCGCGCCATTCGCATATCCGACATCCGCGCCGCCTCATCGGCATCCATCGCATTCATCATTTCCCCACCGGCGCCTCCCCCATTGTTTCCACTACTTCTACTGTTGCTATAGCCATCCTGGCCACGCCGGGCGGGGGCGGCATCCGTGGCCGGCGATGGACGTGGGCGGCCAAATGCGGCTTGCGGTCGCGGTGGATCCTGCGGCCCCGACGCGTCGCTGCTGTCGCTGCGGCTGCTGCCCTCCGCCGCGGCATCCCGCACCCGCCCGCGGCCTACATGCCGAGCCTGTGCAGGGGTATCATCACCGTCCTCCTCTTCATCATCATCATCATCGTCATCTTCATCATCTTGGGCTGTAGGGAGGGTTCTTTTTCGGGGATGCGGAGGTTCCATGTTGTTGCGAGTGGTACGTTTGCGGTTTGCCTCACCGCGAAGTGCGTTAAGTTCTTCTTTCCGAAGTCGTTCACGCATGACACGCAAACGAGTTTCGTGTTCCTCCAATACAGCATCCTCAGCGGCGTTAAATCTAGCCAATTCATGTTCCAGATACTCCAAATTGCAGTATTGCTCAAGGTAAACAACAAATTGAGACTGTAGGTCTGATTCATGTTTTTCATATTCCTCCATAAAAGCTGGTCGTACAGCCATTAGAGATTTAAGACGTTTTTGTGCTCGTTCTAATTGTGTCTTTTTACTCTCAATCTTTTGCTCCAAAGTGGTTTCATCAGCGCCAAGGTTTGCAATGGCTGTCTGTAATTGTTCCACTTGTTTACCCACATTGTTTAATACATCACGTAGGCGTCGCTCAAATTCTCCAACTTCTGTTGCACGTGATAGCACACGTTGACGTTCCGCACGTTGTGATATTTCCTCTTCTATAAGGAAAAACAGAGAACTTCCATCACTTGTTAAATCACTGCATAATTGTTGCACACGTTTGGCATCTTGAACATTTTTTTGGGCAACCATTTGTTGTAGACCAGTGTAATCAGGTTCTTCTGCTTCAGTTGCACTCATAGCTTTTTTAAGAATTCCAGCTAATATGAGCATTTCCTGTACAGCATTCCCGTCACATTGGTAAAGTTTCTTAATGTTAAGTTTAATTCGACCCTTAGTCAAAGCAACTTCACATACTTGTTTAAAGAAGTAAACGCGATCAGCCTCCCGTGCAATCTCATAGACAATCTCTGCCGATGGTTCATACCGTTTGATAAGCCAATATAGGCAGTCTGCCACCAACTCCACGTTAGGGTTTCGAAATGACTCCATACTGATGAGATTGGGGTATCCCAAGAGACGCATCGTCTCTGCAAAGGAACGTAATTCCCGAAAAGACATGGTCTAACTCGATGATA